CGCCCGGCTGATTTTTTGATTTATTGTAGAGATGAGGTCTCGCTGCCCAGGCGGGTCTTGAACCCGCGGGCTCGGGCAATCCACTCACCTCAGCCTCCCAAAGGCGCAGGATTACAGGCTGAGCCACCGAGCCCGGCTGGGCCCTCTTCTAAAGGGAATGCTACATTCAGACTGAAAATGGCTGCCTTGTATACCTATAAACAGAACAATTTTTTTTTGAGTCAGGGTCTCATTCTGTCACCCAGCAGGAGTGCAGTGGCATGATCGTGACAATCATGGCTTGTGCCAACCTCCACCACCTGGGTTCAGGGAATCCTTCCACCTTAGCATCTCAAGTAGCTAGGACTACAGGCGCATGCCACCATGCTTGGTTAATTTTTTTTTTTTTTTTTGCGTTGGAGTCTCACTCTGTCGCCCAGACTGGAGTGCAGTGGCCACTCTCGGCCACCGCAGCCTCGACCTGCTGGGCTCCGGCTATCCTTCCGCCTCAGCCTTCCCAGTAGCTGGAATTACAGGCATGCGCTACCATACCCAGCTGATTTTTTGATTTATTGTAGAGATGAGGTCTCCCTGCCCAACCGGGTCTCGAACCCGCGGGCTCAGGCAATCCACTCACCTCAGCCTCCCAAAGGCGCGGGATTACAGGCTGAGCCACCAAGCCCGGCTGGTTAATTTTTTTATTTTTATTTTTCTGTAGAGACAAGGTTTTGCTATGCTGCCCAGACTGGTCTCAAACTCCTGGGCTCAAGCAATCCGCCAGCCTTGGGCTCCCAAAGTGTTGGGTTTACAGGTGCAAGCCACCACGCCTGGCTATAAACAGAACAATTTATTTATTTATTTTTGAGTTGGAGTTTCACTAGGTCGCCCAGACTGGAGTGTACTGGCCGCTCCTGGCCATGGCAGCCTCGGCCTGCTGGGCTCCGGCGATCCTTCCGCCTCAGCCTTCCGAGTAGCCAGAATTACAGGCACGCGCTACCACGCCCGGCTGATGTTTTGATTTATTGTAAAGATGAGGTCTCGCTGCCCAGGCGGGTCTCGAACCCGCGGGCTCAGGCAGTCCACTCACCTCAGCCTCCCAAAGGCGTGGGATTACAGGCTGAGCCACCGAGCCCGGCTAAACAGAACGATTTAAAACACATTCATTATAATGCATGCAGAACTTGGAAGACTGACTTGTAGTTGTTTTTTAGAGCTGAGCCAAAAAAAGTACACATGGCTTATACAATATTTCAATTTTTCTTGGGCTGAAAAACAAATAAATGCTTCAACACAGCCTGTGCAAATAACTAACTAAGCTTTGCTATTCCCTTGAAAATTCCAGATGCCTGAAAGGAATTACTGATCCCACCAGGGGCTAGCCCCCACAGGCTGGTCTCACTAATTCTCTGCATTCTAACAGACTGCTTTTGGATGCAACTATATAATAGAACTTATGGAAAATAAGTTCAGTATATACACTTCAGCGTGAAGTTTTAAAGTGCTACCAGGTCAAATAGCTGACTTAATTGCTCACTGAATTTTATTCATTTTATTTTTTGAGTTGGAGTCTCCCTCAGTCGCCCAGACTGGAGTGCAGTGGCCGCTGCCGGCCACCGCGGCCTCGCCCTGCTGGGCTCTGGCGATCCTTCCGCCTCGGCCTTCCAAGGAGCCGGAGCCACAGGCGCGCTACCATGCCCGGCTAGTTTTTGATTTCTTGTAGAGCCGAGGTCCCGCCAATTTGCCCAGATGGGTCTCCAACGCGGGGCTCAGGCAATCCTCTCGCCTGGGGCTCCCAAAGTGCTGGGGTGACAGGCTGAGTGAATTTTAAAATGTCCTACATAGATCTCGCCAAATACTCAAGGACAATCACTTGATTCTTCAAGGAACTTTCCAGACACAGCTCTCCCCCACCCCCTGCCTTGCTGGCCATAGCACGAGGACACGGGATACAGAAACAGAAAGGGCAAGATTTAAAAGTTCCTGCGAAATACATTCCAAAAGCCAGGTTCACTCCCCACCCCGCTTCTGCAGTATTCTTTTGGGGGTCAGTGGTTCTCAAGGGCCCAGCCCCATAGGCCCCCGTTTCAGACATTCCCTGGTCCCACGCCCCAGAAATTCCGAATCTCTGGGTCAGAGGCAGGAACATGCCTTTTGACAGACATCCCCAGGTGACTCTACTGCAGGTGAATCTGGACCACTCTAAAAGTTAAACACCACTTTATTTGTTTTTTGAGTTGGAGCCGCACTCCGTCGCCCAGACTGGAGGGC